GTCATCTTGGCAACAGGTGCAAAGGTCTCCAGATAATCAATCCCATATGTCTGTGTATAGCCTTTTGCAACCAGCCTAGCCTTGTACCTTTCAATGGTGCCATCAGCTCGATATTTGATAGTAAAGACCCACTTGCAACCGACTGGATCCTTCCCTTCAGGCAAATCAACCACTTCCCATATGTCATTCTTGTGTAGGGCATCAATTTCAGACCTCATAGCACCCTCCATTCTGGAATATTAAGAGCTTCTGACACAGACCTGGGAATAGGGTTAGAAGCAGCAGAAGATAGATAGGCAAAGTATGAAGGAGAAAAGAACCTGTAAGAAAGGTGCTTGGAAATGCAGTGAGCAGTGCACTTCCGTTTTCCTTTCCTAACAGCAATGGGAATATCAAGGTCAGGGAAGGATGACTCAAGAGTGATTTGGAATACAAAAATGAGGGGACTGGGAGAAAAGAAAGGAAGGGGTGGGGGGGACTTGCAGGAATCAAAGTTAGCTAAACAGAAATGCAAGATTGAGGAGAATTATATGGTCAGAAAGGAATCTAAGCTGGTCACTGGCATCATCATGTGGAGCCTTTGAAGAAATAACATCAATCTGGAAAATGGAGATGTATGAAGGTATAGAGGAACTATAGGGAGATATGCTGACTCCATAAGCTAAAGAATGTGAATAATGGAAGGGAATGGGTGAGAACAAACATGTATGGTCCAAATTCATATCAGAAGAGGAGGGAGTTGTTGGAGGAGCTCTATGCCATCAAAGGTTTGTTGGAGGGGCAATGGGGTTCATTTCTTGTTTTTGGGGGGCAGGGGGTGAATAGTTGAATGCAATTAGATATGCCAACAAAACAAATGATTCTAATCAAATTGTAACAACTAAAATGAGAAAATTCAATCAATTTATTAACAATTGCGGTGCTGATAAAAAGCTATTAACAATTGTAAGCTGAGGGAGCCAAGGCTATTGTTAATTTCAAATGATCCAATTTTCAGGAAAACCCTACCTGTTCTAAGCTAATAGGTTCCTTTACTCAATTGAGTGGGAGGATCAAGGGGGAGAGGGATTATCCTGCAAATCCCTCTCCTGCCCCATATCAATAGAGAAGGCCATTGGATGTCTAAAAGCTGTTTTGAATTGTCTAGATAGATGTTGGACACAAAAAAGGACCTAGTGGGAACAAGGCCCCACCTGAGGATTTTGGTCCACAATCCTTAATTACAAGCAAAGATTTGGAAGGGCCCATATTAATAGTCTTTCTTTTTATTTAATCATCTTGAGAAGGGATTACTTATTTTAATCATTGTAATGAATATATTACATGTGAATATTTAGTCTTTGTGTGATCCAATTATTTGTTTTTTCTAGAATGAATACAGTGTATGTGATTTTTTAGTCCTCATGTGCTCTGACTATTTGTTCTTGTATTGGTTTTCTAGAGGTCAGAAAGACTGATTCTAGTTCCCATTTTCAATCTCTTATATTGTGATTAGTAGACCCTTTTTATTTCTCAATTGATTCACATCTATAGTAGTATCATTCAGGTAATTTATCTGATTCATGCAATTTGCTTTTATATGTGGTCATTTGCAGTTCCATAATGCTTTCTATGATGATGCTAAGAGTCAGACAAGGAGGATTTGTACCCTCTTACAGTCATATATACCTGGTGTTATGAACCCTCATACTAAAATTGTTCAGCAATGGAATCAATTTTTTGTCATTTCTTGCTTAGTGGCGATTTTTGTAGACCCCTTGTTTTTCTTCCTGCTTTCTGCAAAGGAGGTATGCCATTGCTTACTTTGTTTCCAAAAGCATCTTTTTGCAATACAATGGAATGATGTTGATCATGGGTTGAATACTTGATATATCTTCTTATTAAATGACCAAGTATCTTAGCAGTACACACAAACTAACATATTTTCTTTATAATAAGATTATTATATTCTCCCATTAGGGTTGTTGTCCACATTTAAAATGCTTTACCCAATATACAAGTTCTTGGGAACATGTTAGGACTTAAAGTCCTTGGGAACATGTTCTTCAAGGTATGACATGAATGGAAAGGTTTGTAAACTAAAGAGGGCCTTGTATGGACTTAAATAATCCCCAAGGACCTGCTTGAAAGATTGTGCAAGGCAATAAAAACTGTAGGATACTAGAAGAGTAGTGCCAATCCCACTTTTCCATAAAAATAACAGAGGAAACCTAACATCATTGATTGTATATGTTGCATAGTTTTCAAGGCGCCAAGGCAAGACTAGGCGACAATGGGGCTCCTTGTCGCCTAGTCGTCTAGGCGGGTGCCTAGGCGATGGATTTTTTTTAAATTAAACCATATATCCTAGGGTAGTTCCCTAGGTTCCATAACCATCTTTCCTTAATAATTATTCATAATTTCATAAGATATATATAAATTTCTTGTTTAATTCTAGAAAATCAACATTTTATGAGAGGAAAAAGAACAAAGTAAAGAAAACTCAAAAAAATATAGGGGCTGAACCCCTACTTTTGTTATAGGAAAGACAAAAAGAAAAGGTGGAGGAAGAAGAAGAAGATGTGGAAGAAAAAAATGTGTTGATTAGACAAAATTTTAAGTTCTTCCCTTGTTTTTTGGTTCAGGTTTTGAAATTTTTGAGGGTTCAATCAAGGATCAAAATTTCAATACGGTATGCCCTGTATTGGGTGTATTGTATTGTATCTTTGGGGTCCTGATACCTATTTACAAGTGTTTTTGGGGACCCATTTTTTTAAATAATATATATATATATTTAAAAATGAAATTGAAAACCAAACAAATAAAAAAAATAGGGGGAGTATCGTTATAAGTAACGATGCACCTCTGCCAACACACAGAGGTGTATTGATACTTTGAACCATGGGTTCAACACAGCAGTTAGCAATGTTTGCGTTGATTAAACCCTAACAAAATAAGAAATTAATAAAAAGAAATTAGTATATAAACACATAAAATGAATATTCTAGTTTAGTAATATCTATTTTATAATTATAATATCAAAAAATTAAAAATATAAAAGTATTTTATAACCTAGTTCACAAAACTGCTTGGCGATGGGTGAGGCGAGCCTCCAAGGCTGCCTTGTCGCCTAGGCGTCACCTTGACAATTATGATATGTTGATGACATGGTTGTTACTAGAATTGATCCAATGGATATTTATAAGTTAAAATGTTTCTTAGCCTCAAAGTTTGAGATTAAAGACTTAGGACTTCTAAGGTATTTTTTTGGAAATAAAGGTAGCTAGATCCAGTGAGGGAATTTATATTTACCAAAGGAAATATGCATTGGATCCGTTGAAGGAGACATGAAAATTAGGGATCAGACCCGTAGACGCTCCTATTAGAGAAGAATCATCGATTGCTACAAAGTGGAGAACTTTACACAAACAGAGGAAGGCACCAGTGACTTGTTGGCAAACTTCTCTACTTATATCTCTTTAGACTTGGCACTACATTTTTATTCATATGGTTAGCCAGTTTATGCATATTCTTCGAGTTTCACACATGAAGACAGTAAAAGGAATCTTGAGATACCTCAAAAACATGTCTTGGAAAATGATTATTTTTCAAGAAACATGATAGGATCACTGATGCTGATTGGGCTTGATCTCTTGGGGATAGGAGGTCTACATTTGGATATTGTACCTTTGTAAGTGGTAATCCTATTACTTGGAGAGGTAAGAAACAATCTGTATTAGTTAGATCAAGTGCTAAAATTGAATACATGGCCATGGCTCATGGAGCAAGTTACTTTGGCTCTGGATACTCTTAAATAAGTTGGAGACAGGTGTGATTGGACCTCTAAAGCTTTATTGTGACAACTGAGCAACACTTAACATTGTTAATAATCCAGTCCAACATGATAGAGCTAAACATATTGAAATCGATAGACACATTGTGAGAGAAAAGATTGTTTCTGGAGACCTCTGTGTTCCTTACATGCCTTTTGCAAGAAAGCTAACTAATGTGTTCACCAAGAGTCTTACTAGATTATGATTTGTAGAATTTCTATGCAAGTTGGGCATGATAAATATCTATTTTGAGCTTGAGGGGGAGTGTTGTCAGACCTAAAGATGTGGGTTTTGGCCCCTTTATCTATCTGTGATATATATTTTTTTTATTTTGTTGGGTTGTATGGGTCTGTACTTGTTATGTATTTCAAATCTTTACTAGCTACCACCGAAGTAGGGGACAGTTTTGTCACTTTATTGTCACTTTTGAAAATTTATGTAAATAACAATTTTCTGCTGGACAGAATTGTGCTGACGCCCATTTCTCTTCATTCTTCTCTTCTCTAACCCAGGGCTGAAACAAAACCTCAAAAGAGGCATTCTGAAGTGGAAATTTTCACTTCTTTGGGTTTTGGAATAGTTAAAACTTTTACTTGTAGAAGGGTAGAAGTTGGTGACCAAAATTGGTGGGAGGGTATGGGGGGTCTAGTGACTTTCAATGGAGATGGTTAGTGGGATTGTGAGAAGTCTTGGTAATGCGAGAAAGTGAGTTGTGAAGGATTTTTTGCAGAGGTTGAAACCATCCATTATTTTTTTAAAGAAGCAAAAATAGAAAAAAAATCAATGTTTTTGGTTGGGAAGTATTTGAGGGTTGAGGAATTAGTTTTGGGTTGGCATCCCCTCTCTTGGTGCCTTGGGTTGAATTTTGACACCATGGGATGAGAGTCAAGTGGAGTTTGTTAAAGTAGTGGGGAATTTTATGGTGACAGTGAAATTTAGAGAAAAAAATGGTGGTTGACAAATGTATATGGCTTTACATCTTATAGAGATAGGGAAGGTTTGTGGGAGGAGCTATATGGTGTTAGCAGGTTGTGTGAGGGTACGTGGTGTTTGGTGGGGGATTTCAATGTCACCTGTTTTTGTTCTGACAGTAATGTGGGCGCTTCTATAATTACTAAAAGCATGACAAATTTCAGTGAATTCATTTCAGATTGTTTGCCAAGGGACCACCCCTTGCAGAATGAATGGTTTACATGGTCCAATTTGCAAGCAAACACTTTATGTTGTAAGTTGGACACGCATTTTTGTTTAAGGTTGGGAGGTGTATTTTGGATCTGTTATGGTGAAAGCCATGGCAAGGACAATTTTTGCTCACTGTCTCTTAGTGTTGAAATTGGATGAGATGACCTATGGTCCTACCCCTTTTAGATTCAAAAACATGTGGATCAAACACCCTAATTAGACCAAATTGTAATAGCAAATGAGGAGGTAGAGGATTTTAGGAGGATTGGTAAGAAAGGGTTTGTATATGTTTAAAGGTTGTCTTAGGTTCACCTTAATGCAGCAGGGGAAATATTGTATTTTTACTTTATTTTTCTGATTGCCCTAACATAAATACCAATGCTGGTGCTGCCAGATCAATTGGGGGAGTGATTAGAGATCATGAAGTATTGATGGTGGTACTGTATTCAGGTGTAGTTGGCTTAGGAGATTCAATTAAGGCAGAAATTTTGGCACTTATACAAGGTTTGAGATTAGCACAGAAGCTTGGTCTTTGAGATTTGGAAGTGGAGGGTGACTCACAACTAGTAATTCATTGGGCAAAGCAACTTAAAGCAGCACCTTGGAAATGTAGACATGCATTTGGGGAAATTGATGTTATTTCAAAGTGTTAGTGTCGACTGTATAGGGGTAGTTTAGTTCTTCTAGTTATGTTTAAGCTGGTGTGTAGTGTTTATGTTAAGTGATGTGTCCTATACTTAAGTAGGGGCATAATAGTCTTTTGTTTTAATTTAATAGAAACATGTAAATATAACCTGGTTGACTAGAGAGAGTGACTTTTTTTCTCTTGTTTGAACCACTTTTCTCCTCCTTTCTTTTCTTCTCTTTTTCTCTCTTCTATCTCCTTAATCTTCCTCTAATTCTAACAGAATTCTAGTGCAGGTCTGAACTTTATCATGGTATCAGAGTCATTGTGACAAAATCAGATCTGCCCAGAATTCTGTCCTATCGCCATTCAGCCTAGGGTTTTACAGTTTTCTTCATCATCCGTTGGAGATAAGGAAAAGGGATGAAAAGGAGTGATCACCCTTTCCCTTTGGAGGTTTTCATGCCTCCTGTCAGTGGTTTAGTGGGTGTTTGTGGTGGTTTGTAGGAAGCCCTCTAATCGATGGTACGAAGGGGGCTGTTTCAGGTGGTGCAGTGTACAGTTGAGTGTTAGGTTGGTTTTTGGTATCAGATAGGTGGGACATATGTGTGTTTCAGTGTGAATCGAGTGGTTGGTGAGTTGCTAGTGCTATGGTGTGTATTCAAGTAGTTGTGTGGTGCTGAAAGCGAAGAAATCAGCGACAGGTATTGATGAAAATTGTGACTGTAGGTGGTTTCACTAATGTGTAGTGTGGTGAAAAGTGATTTAGATATAAAAAAAAAAAAATTGGGAGAATTCAGATATTGGAGACCGTTGTGAACACAAATCTAGTGTTTTGGTTCCCAACGACTACTTGAATGTTCAGATGACTTCTATCAAGTTGAATGGGGAGAATTATGTGCCTTGGGCAAATTTTGTAGAGGTCTTTCTTAGAGCTAAGAAGAAAGTGAAGCATGTAAGAAAAGAAAAACCTCTTGCTGAATCTTTGGAGTATGGTGATTGGGGACAAGAAGATGCACAGATTATGACCTGGTTATGGAATAGTATGGAACACAAGATCAATGTGAATTTTATGTTCCTAGGTACAGCCAAGGAGATTTGGGACCATGCCAAGAAATTGTACTCGGGACAAGACAATACTACTAGAGTGTATTAGCTTTATCAGGAG